TATTCTGTGCAAAATAGTTCAGAGTAAGAAGTGTTGCACTTACTAAGTGTAGAGCTCGAATAACTCTATGAAGTGCCTGGGCGATATGATCCCTGCCTATGGATGGCTGATCTCCTCTTCATTAAGGTGCTTAGGTGCGTGGTAAACTCAGGTAGGCAGGTTAGATCAGGATTGTATATGTCCCAGTGGAAGACCTTATGAACTTGCAATCAAATACCGTGAAGGTTTATGCAGATAAAAATAGAAATATAGTGCACACAGCTAAAACCAATACAATATTTAAACAAGGTTGGACGGGTACTCACAGAGGGAGTGAATAATACAGAAAATTTTATCATACTTACCGTAATTTTCTTTTCCTGGCTATTATTCATGGCAGCATCACTTATGGGTTAGCTCTGCCCCAATCAGGTACAGGACAGGAAAAATCAATTAATCTGGACCCAACTGGGGTATAAAAGGACGTTCCGTTCCAACACTAGAAGTCACCTGATGAGAGAGAAACGTCAGGACCACACAGCCATTTTGAGAAGGTTGGACTTCTTGTTTATCCATAAAGAAAGGAACATTTATCCCCCATGATGGAAGGGGAAGAAAAACGGAAATACCATATATGGACTATTTGTGGGTGGGTTGTATATGAATTTGACACAGATGTTTTATGTTTAGTTACTTATGTATAGGGTATTTAAACCTTTTATTCACAATCATGTTTATTGCACCTGAGGAATACCAGGAAAGTGGTCGAAACGCATTGTGCTATTTTTTATTTTATTTCTTAATAAAGAGGTATTTGTATATTTATTTTGGTTCCTGAATTTTTCATCTAAAAGGAAAACACTTATGCTGGGACCATCATCTTCACCAAAGCCACCCTATTGGAGTTACAAACACGCTACTACAGTTTAGAGCCGACTTATAAGGCTCAAAAGATTATTAAAGTAATTAATTTTGAGTATCAAATCAAGGTTCAAGTTTAGGAACAGAGTTTTATTGGGAATTATCCCCATATGTATATGTTAGTGTTTTAATACTCATCCTGTCTAACAAGCATTTCTATAAAGTGAGTGCTTCTCTCATCCGTACAAAGGCATTCCAAAGGGATATTATGTAAAACCTAATAGAAGACAGATTGCATAAAATATAAGCAAAGATAAGAGAAGTACATGTTACACACGTTAAGGGTTTAACCTTAATCTCTAACTTAAGTTTTAGCCTAGGTAATTAATTAATTGATGTTGTATTGATCCTTGTGTTTGTATGATTGTAGAGGCCGTCCTGGAGTGTTTGTGCCGCCTGATTTCTGGGACTACACACCAATCTCTCTGGCTGACCATGCAATAGGTATTTTGCAATTACATCTGTTTGGTCATAATCCATGTAGGACAAAGAAACTGAGATACTTACTTATGAGGACATAAACTTTGCACGCAAGAACCTGGAAAGTCCTGAAGGTGCAGTGCTTTTTATTCACAATCATGTTTATTGCACCTGAGGAAGATCAGGAGAGTGGTCGAAACGCGTTGTGCTATTTTTGATTTTTAAATTTATTTCTTAATAAAGAGGTATTTGTATATTTATTTTGCTTCCTGAATTTTTCATCTAAAAGGAAAACACTTATGCTGGGATCATCATCTTCATCAAAGCCACCCTTTTGGAGTTACAAACACGCTACTACAGTTTAGAGCCGACTTATAAGGCTCAAAAGATTGTGAGTGCTCCAAGTTATATATTTATTTTATATGCTATGACTACATATTGCCCTATGAAGGCTTTCTGTATATTACAGGTTTAACAATTTCTATCCATTGTTCGCGCTGGTTCTGTAATAACCCTTTCAACCATTGGGGTGTTGCACAGAGCATTGTGATGAACATCCAGCCCACAAAAGAAGAACTATGTGGAAGCTGACATTGTCTTGTTGTCAGCCATATTGCTACCCTTAGCCATTTTATGGAACAAAATGTCTGGTGTCTAAACTGATTTCTTTATACTCTGTGAAAGACTTATTCTATTTTTCTGAACTATGCTGAACTATTGAACTATTTTTATTTTTGTAGAGTTAGCCGGAGAGAGAGAAAGTGTTAGCTGACCCAGGGATGAATGTATTATGTGTGTCTTTGATATATGTGGAGTGTGCCAAGGATGGATTCCCATTTTTTGAGGAACTGCGTGAGGATATGACTGGTTTTGACTGGACCTTTGGAATAGGGAAATGGTTAAAAGATATAGGACGCAAGGTCCTGGTTGTGATTAGTGTCAGAATTTCAAGCTAGATTATAATTTATCTCATGAATTAATATGTAAGAAGTGTTTCCCAATTCCTCCCGATACCCGAGCTATGTACTCACAGGTGCGGGTATTATAAGTCACAAGTGGTGTCAACTGTGAGGGATGATCGCAGCCCCCACTCAGGTTTTCCCCAGATGTGCTTTTTCCTCAAATATGAGTTTTTGCCACTGGGTTTTTTGCCTGGCTCCAGATCATCGGGTAGTCTGTTTAAAATTGGTTAACATGTCAGCTATTTGCAATAATATATTTGCTATAAGCCCAAGTTCCATTTTGTCTTAAACATCTATTTTCTATATATCTGTCAAAAGTATTAAGTGTCTTTTTTCCTGCTGCGTTTCTGTTTCTTGCAGACCACATGATTGCTTAGGAATGCCATAATGTGGAAGTTTCTCTGTCCTGGGAGAATGTTAACCGATAATATGAGCAAGTTTTTGCTCAAAGAGGGGAATGAAAGGATATGAAGTAGTTTTCTTGTTCATATGTATTTTATGCTTAGATAAGGTTTATAATCATTAGTGCTGACTGTAAGGATATGAAATAGTTAAACTCTTTTTGCTTTATATGCTTTAAAATAACGTTTGAAATAATTATGCTGACTTTGGCCAATGTATTTTGTACCAAGGTCTGCCTTCTAGAGGATGTGCGACCTTGCTCGACCTCAGGATGTTCCTGTTCTGTCTTTATTCAAATGCTTATCTTCTACTGCTACACAAGTATGTACTATTAACTATAAGGAAGCGATAAATCTCGCTGCTTGCGTGACAAACTGTGTATAAATGCTAGCCCTGAAAATATACTCATTGAGACTTTTTGTTAAGCACTTTCGAGTCTGTGTCTTTTGCTAACAAGAGCTCCATCAATTGATTTGGTGACTGAGAGGTTCGAGAACAGAGGGAGTTAAAGAGAAGTCGTTTAACCCTTTCAAACAATAATAATAATAATGTACCAGTGCCCTGCACATTGTCCAATGCATGATCAATGCGGGCACTGTCCAGGGCCGGACTGGGGATTCCAAAGCAGCCCTGGAAAAAAAAATCTATGCCAGCCCCATAAGTCATTGCGCCATATATTGTCGCATGTAACCCTAGATTATTGATATATATATATATATATATATATATATATACAAGTATAGTGGCACTCACCCTTTCAATGAATCAGTAAAAAAATGGCTTGGTGCAATCCCACGCTGGATATGTAAAGCAAAAAGGAAAGAGATGCACTCTCAGGTCTTTGTAGAAAAAAACTAGATATTATTTAATAACAGGTAACATACATTTGATCGACGTTTCGACCTCTTCAGGTCTTCCTCAAGATCAATATACAAACATATACAACACAAATATATAGGCAACATAGGAGGAGTTACATAATGGCCACGTCCATACGTCACATGACACGTGTCACATGACGCTTCACTTACACTTCCGGATTCGGACTAATGGAAACCGGTGTGCACTGTTTGTTTGGTGAGTAACCTATGTTGCCTATATATTTGTGTTGTATATGTTTGTATATTGATCTTGAGGAAGACCTGAAGAGGTCGAAACGTCGATCAAATGTATGTTACCTGTTATTAAATAATATCTAGTTTTTTTCTACAAAGACCTGAGAGTGCATCTCTTTCCTTTTTGCTTTATATATATATATATATATATATATAAAAAACCAAACAGATCTTGCACTCCACCAATTCAATATTCAATGCCCGGTGCTTGTCAGCCAAAAATGCTAAAAATATTGCCAGAGATAGCACTCCAAGGACTAATATAAAATATAACTTTTATTACCTCCACTAAAACAACACAAGGTCAACGTTTCAGCTTGATCCCCTCAAGCTTTCGTCAGGACATCTCCTGACGAAAGCTTGAGGGAATCAAGCTGAAACGTTGACCTTGTGTTGTTTTAGTGAAGGTAATAAAAGTTATATTTTATATTAGTCCTTGGAGTGCTATCTCTGGCAATATTATATATATATATATATATATATATATATCTTTTTCCAATATAAAATATTGGTCCTTTCAGAGTAAAATTTTTAATTATACAGTAAGCATACTCACATGCATACACAGACAATCTCACTGACACAAGCGGATTGATACACAGCCTCATACATAAGGTTATTGACATAAAAACACAAGCTCACTCAGTAGCAGGCACACACACACACACACACAAGCAAGCGCGCGCACACACACACAGCTTAATGTAGTGGTATTGGTGTCTATAGCCTGTCCCTGCAGGCTTTTCAATGTAAACACTGACTTTTAAGAGAAAAGGCAGTGTTTACATTGCTTCCTAGTGACAGACACTCAGACGGTCACTAGAGGTGCTTCCTGTGTCAGTGCGGATTGGCTGAGATCATCAAGCTTGATGATCTCAGCCGTAGAGGCAGGACGAGGGGAGACCAGCATGATGTGGGAAACAAAAAAGTGAGTAAAAACACACATACACACACACACATACCATGACACAGACAGACCGTGACACAGACAGAAACACACCATGACAGACACACCATGACACAGACAGACACACACACACACACCATGACAGACACACACCTTAAAAAAGACATACACACCTTGACACACACACACCATAACACAGACAGACCGTGACACACAGACACACACACCACGACACAGAGAGACCGTGACACAGACACACACACACCGTGACACAGACAGACACACATTACATGGCACAGACAAACACACACACACACACACCATGACACACACAGACCGTGACACAGACAGACACACACACCATGACACAGACAGACTGTGACACACAGACCACGACACAGAGAGACCGTGACACAGACACACACACACCGTGACAGACAGACACACATTACATGACACACACAGACCGTGACATGCACAGACACACACAATGACAGACACACATTGCATGACACAGACGCACACACCATGACAGACAGTGACACACACACCAGGACACAGAGACACAAACAATGACACAGACACACATTGCTGACACAGACAGACACTCACACACCATGACACAGACACACACACACACACACTCCATGACAGACAGACAGACACACACACAAATGAAACACACACACACACACACACACACAATTTCTACCTGTGGGGACTGGCGGCTGGCGGCCGCAGAGGGAGCTCCTTTGGCGGCCGCAGGGTTTGCTGGCTGTTCTTGCGGCCGCAGGGGGAGCTGGCTGTTCTGTCTCTGCTCCCCCTCCCCAGCGCGCCGCTTAATGAGACCGGGGCCGGAATATGACGTCATATTCCGGCCCCGGTCTCATTAAGCGACGGCCCCGGGGAGGGGGAGCAGAGACAGAACGGCCCACCGGGAAATCTCCCGGTATCCCGGTGGGCCAGTCCGGCCCTGGCACTGTCTGTGGTGGCATGGATGCAGGATTATCAGGAAAGAGGTGAGCAGTTCTGGCTAACAATGTCGAATTAATCCATCCTGTGATCCAATTCCTCAAACTTTGGTCAATAACAGAATATCAAGGGAGACTATAAGCTCTAAATGTGTATCAAGACAGAAACCATGAATAAGGGCCCAAATTAGCAATATATAGGCTAACACATTTTTTGATTGATCCACATAATTTCAGCATTTCCAAATCCATTGAACATGGAGTCGCCTAGATGATGTGGCCACTTTAACCCCTTAAGGACCAAACTTATGGAATAAAAGGGAATCATGACGTCACACATGTCATGTGTCCTTAAGTGGTTAAGGGCAGGTATGACATCACGCTATTTTAATTATAAAAGGATGCAACAAAACAGCTGGAAGCCTCCTTGGGAATACATGGAAGAAGTGGTCTTTACATATTCGGCCTGCGCGTACCAGGAGCAGTCGCTGTTCAGGTTGTGGAGCTGCGTGGAGTGTTTTGTCCGCGATACCTGAGGAAGGGAACATCACGGACCTGTGATGGGAGCAACGCAGGCGTCTGGAAGAGGTAAGTTTGTTACAGTGATTTGAGGCAAAATTATATGTTCATTTCAAGAGTTAATGCCACTATTTAAGCATGCACAATACCTTACTGGCTTTAGCAACTGCTGCTGGATATTGTACATTGTTGCTTAGTTTGTTGTGTATACAAATTCCAAAGTTCATACTATGGTGGAAATCAATTTCTTTCTCTTACTTTCTCTCTGTTTTTTATTTTTTATTTTTTTATTACTACCACTACCACTATTACTACCACCACTATTATCAAACATTGTGGACACTAGATGGCAATATAGGATTACATTTCGGGATCCAGGTTAGTCAGGTTTCACAAAATTCTAAATTGTAGAGAATTTAAAGGGGAACTGTCACTTCTCAGAACTTTTAACCTTATGTTTACTTTCCAAATATTAAACAAATATGTATTTGTAAGGTGTGAGAAATAAAATTAAAATGTAATATATCCACACCTCTTTATCTTGAACTGAGTGCTACCTGTGAATCAGAGGTGTACCTAGAAGCCACTGGGCCCTGGTGCGAAAATGGCCCTGGGCTCCCCCCATTTGTCTCATTCCATCCCCCCCGGCTCCTCCATGTGTCTCACTCCTCCTCCCTTCCCCCCCATACCTGCTCTCAGCCGCAGTACCTGGTCTTACAGAATGTCTCATTCCATCCCCCCCGGCTCCTCCATGTGTCTCACTCCTCCTCCCTTCCCCCCCATACCTGCTCTCAGCCGCAGTACCTGGTCTTACAGAAAGTGGTCTCTCAGTGAGCACTTCCTGTCAGACCGCGATCTGCTCGACCAAGCTACACACAGTGGCAGGAGAGGAGCAGCACAGCATTCCTCTCGTGCCGGCCACCCAGCAACCATGAGCCCCGGGCCGGTGCAACCGTGCACATCAGCCCTAAGAGTATACAGACGGCTGTAGCTGTGACCCCTGCAACTGTGGTAGTTACGCCACTGCTGTCAACAGGGCTGCCATCAGAAATTGTGGGGCCCCTGGCACAGCTCAAGGTCTGGGCCCTCTGGGGCCTGCCCCCGAGCCCACAGATAGGAATGCAGTGTGTGTACTGATTGTGGTGTGTGTATCATGGATGCAGAGTGCCTGTGTAAAGTGGATGCGGTGTGTGTGTGTAAAGGATGCAGTGTGTGTACTGGATGCAGATTGTACATTTGTGTAATGTATGAGGTGTATATGAGATGCAGAGTGTATGTTTGTGTAGCGGATGTAGTGTGTGTGTATTGTGAATGCAGAGTGTGTGTGTGGTTGTGTAGTGGATGTAGTGTTTGTGTGTATTAGATGTGGTGTGTATCGTGAATGCAGAGTGTATGTTTGTGTAGTGGATGTAGTGTGTGTGTGTGTGTGTAGTGAATGCAGAGTGTGTGTGTTTGTGTAGTGGATGTAGTGTGTTTGTGTAGTGAAGGCAGAGTGTGTGTTTGTGTAGTGGATGTAGTGTGTGTATAGTGAATGCAGAGTGTGTATAGTGAAGGCTTTTTATGTGTATTAGATGCAGTGTGTATAGTGAATATAGAGTGTGTGTATGTAGTGTATATGATGAATGCAGAGTGTGTGTTTGTGTAGTGTGTGTATAGTGAATGCCATGTGTGTTTTAAAAAAAAAAAACATTTTATTTTAAATATTAAATTTTTTTACATTTTATTGTATACCCTCCCTACTTCTAACCTGGCCAGGGAGGGGGGAGATCGCGTTCCCTGGTGGTCCTGTGGCATGGACTCTGCAGAGTGGGCCTTCAGCTCCCCTGTCTAACTCTTGCGGCCTGGTAACCCGTGGCAACGCTCTGACAGCCGCGGGGCTCACAAGAGTTAGACAGGGGAGCTGCTGGGAAGGGAAATGAGAGTGTGCTGCAAGCCCCCTCTGCAACGAACAGGTAGCCGGGGGCCTGCAAGTACACATATATACAGCGAAAATCGCTATATATGTGTACTTAGGCAATGTGGGGCCCGGAACTCCTAGAGAAGTCCGGGCCCCCCAGGACCGCCGGGCCCAGGACAACCGTCATGGTTGTCATGCCCTGATAACGTCCCTGGCTGTCAAGCATTGTTATAAGCTCTGTCCTTTTCATCTGACAGTCAGTTTAGAGAAAGCTGTTATTTCTCCTCTTCATTAGATATGTTTTTCCTAGCTTTGCATTCTCTGACCTGGATTATGATTTAATTGGATAATTCCATTCTGTGTAATAAATTCCAGAAAATGTAGACAAAAGTAGCAGATGTGGAAAAAATCTCCAACTATTCACAAGGCTAGCCTGTGTTTTATCCCATGTGGGCATTGTTTCCTCTAATTGAATATAGCGTATATAGAATGCGCAGCATGAGGCACTGTTGAAAAATAATTATTATTTTGTTATTTCTGAGTAATTGACCTAAAATGCAATATTTTGGCAACCAAAAGTCTTAATCATGTAGCCTTTTGATTGCAGTGGTGTATTTGTGTGTAGTATTTAAATGTAGAGGTGTGTTTGTATGTATTGTTGGTGTTTTAAAGCAGGGGTTTGTTTGTATGTAATGTTGGTGTTTGAATGCTGGTGTGATTGTGTGTAGTGTTGGTGTTTGAATACTGAAGTGTCTTTGTATATAATGTTGGCAAGGCCAGTGCAAGCATTTTTGCCACCCTAGGAATATATATATATATATAAGACGAACAGAACCTCGCCACTGGTTCTTGGAGGGGCTGGCTCGCCAGCCTCTTGCCCCAGGACTATGGCCCCTGCAATAGACCGGGCTAAAATACTTTACAAAGACTGGAATTGGGATTATATGGTTCGGTTACCGAACAACCGCACGTACCAGAGACCACCCAGGTTCTTATTAACACCTATTAACAACTTGGAATGGTTCTCACTGCACTGTTCTAATTGTTCGTCTGGGTGGTGCAATTCCTATGGACAACCACGAGGTGGCAGCCATCTTGTTCGCATGAACGCAGGCAGTGTTTGTGCATGAATCTCATGGAACTAAAATTGGACACAGAAACTCCCGAACACCGCAGGACTTCCATCATCGCCTGCGTTTGATTCTTTACAACTTAGAAGGGCACTATTCGGTGAAATAATTTGTCTGGTAGGGAAACAAGCTCCAGGGTAAGACTATTGACTCTGTTCGGTAGTTTGTTTGTTTTCAAACTACCGAACTAGACTGACCGCAAGCCCTGATTCTCTGGAACGGTTTTGGGCATTGGACCATGCCTGCGGTCGTTCAAATAAATGACGTCCAGGATATTCCTGAACCCCTGAACTGATCTGGGTGATTTTTGGATATGTTGGTCACCCACATAAGGGCTATCAGGGGAAGTAACGGTTTTATGTGGTTTTGGGGTACTTTTGGGGTGTTTGGGGAATAGTGTGTTTTTCTGTACTTGGAGCTAATTGGATTAGATTAGTACAGTTCCTGGCCAGAAGAGCCAGCTCCCCTCTGCGGCCGCCAGAACAGCCAGTTCCCCCTGCGCCCGCCAGAAGAGCCAGCTGTCTGTCTGGCTCCAGGTGCCGACGGCACACCGGGAAATTTCCTGGTATCCCAGTGAGCCAGTCCAGCCCTGGATGCAGCCCACTCAGGGCAAACTACAGTGGCATGGCCCAGGTGGAGGGGGAGGCAAACAGAGAAAAGTCAGTGGGTAGAATTCCAGAGGCAGCTAGGCAAATAGCCTACATTTCCTTTGTGGGGCTCCTGGGTTGTCACCTCTGGGTCGAAGTGAAGGAAAAGGTATGGCAAGGGGCATATGTAGAACTGTTCTCTTTGTTACCTCTGGAGGAGTCTATCGACCTGAAAGGAGAAGATACTAATGAAGGAAGGAAAGAGGAGCAAAATGAGAAGAGGTCTCAAGAGATGGGCTTGTGGCAGGGGCTTGCTAGGTATTTAGGTGATTCAAGCCTGGTTATATCATGGGTGGCAATGGTCTGTGGAAAGTTCCTGGCTGGGAACTGG